GATGTCACATTGTTTTGAATCTTGTCTGTCGATTAAATTACATGCAAATTAGTTGAGTTACTTATTCTGCGAGCGCTTTCTTTGTATTAGTTTCGTTCCGTATAGGCGTGCGTCAAGGCACGTTGTCGGACATCTGAGAGGTCATCTGTTTATGTTTGTGATTTACTAGTTGAAGAAGCTAAATTTTACTGTTTTCTTAGTTAAGAGTGTCAGTGTAAATGTCTAAAAAAGAAGTTCCGGTGGGTTCGTCGGGACGTGGGTGTGGAACAACTGGTTTGGGGTTTGTGCCTTTTTCTCGTAATTGTCTTCAGCGGATGTGAAACCCAACTTACCAGTAATGGTAAACGTGATTGTCCATGGTCTTACAATCCGACTACTTCAACTCTGTCTGAGGTGCATACAGGTATGTCCGATCGGGATTGGCCTTCTTTGCAAATTCACCATGATGGAAGTATGGTACCACAGTCTAATGGAGCAAAACCTACTGCGAAGGTTAAACCAACTGTATGTATTTATTGTTCATTGATCTGGATTATAGAATCCGAGCACGCAAACGACAACTGTAAAGAATTCAAACGATAGGCGGTCGAGTTTTACGCGTCAAAAGAATAGGTGGACTACTGTAGCTTTGGATTATACGTATTCCAAGGACATTGGTGGTGACCAAAGGGTGGGTGGCGCTGGGAAATCCAACAAGGGTACGCTGTTTTGGTGCTTTTGATATTTTAAGCGGATTCAGGAAAGGAGGTCGCAACATCTACTAATGTAGACCATGAAGTATTAGGCGGTTCAACAAATAAATCCCGTAGTTTTATACGTACTCCCAGGAATCAAAGGCCAACAAAGCGGTTGGTAAGTTGCATTTTTAATAGGTGTGTGCAGGTCCTTCATTTATTTACCAGTCATCATGTGTTTTCAGCCAAGGCGTCCTCCTCCGAATAGCTTGTCCACTACTAGTGTCTCTACTGAGTCTTCAATCACAAGAACTTACTCAAATGGTCTCTCCAGAAAAGCCGACAGACTTAGGAATCAGCCTTCGCTGGTCCAATTGCCTTCATTCTTACCCTATTCGATTCACTCTCAATCCCCTGGACAGCCACAAATTTCTGCTCAACGTATGCCTCTTTTGAATATCTACATGGGGTGTTGTACGGTTCTTACGATTTTAATCGCTCTTGCATAGCCTTTGGATACCCAGTTGTAATGATTTACGCAACTCCTGAAAACTGCATCGGCTTGGAGCATTGTTCACCCCTCGTGACATCGGCTCCTCCGGATTCAACGGATCAGAGTCTCCTCACTTCACTGCCTTCTCCTGGAGCGATAAGTTTGCCGAATTGGATTCCAACAACTCAGGATCCTGCAAAGACTAACGAGACTGCTTCAGTTCCACTTGGTTCCAGTCCTGCCTCGCTTTTTTTTCGACCTGGCGTCTTTCATTTCGACCCATCAATACCCCTCTTGGATAGTGACGCAATCCTCCAATCTCGGATTTTGCATCAGATTGAGTTTTATTTTAGCGAAGATAACCTTGTCCGTGACACATTTCTCAGAAGCCATATGGATGAAGATGGTTGGGTGCCCATTTCAGTCATAGCCAAGTTTAATCGTGTGGCCTTGCTGTGTACCGACTTGGAAAAAATAATCAATGTATGCATTCGTTTTCTACTTGATGACTCACATTACATTTTTTTATAATTTTGCGGTAAACTAGTATCGCAGACTCACATCCAGGCGATTGAACAACCTGGATGTGTTAATATTTTTCGCCTTTTCAGTCTCGATGAACCGCTGAAGTATTCTGGGATTCTTTCTATGTTAAGGCTCTCGTACCCAGTCAAATAATTGAAACAGACACCAAGGGGATGCGCGTTCGTTGTCGGAACCGTCCAACTCAATGGGTCATTCGGAGTTTTTTGCGAGTCGCTGGTGGTCACACAAGAGAGGCAGATTCAGCAGATGAACCTGAAGCAGGTGGATCATTAACGTCCGAAACCCGGCCTACGATCCCTCCTCCCAACCCCGAAGTCATGGATCTTATGCCTTCCATTGGTAAGCGCGTCCCCACGAAGCGTTGCACCATCACACTTATTATTTATTTATACTCTTTATTGAACCTTGAGTTTTTATTACAATTATGGCTGTCCTCATTTTATTGAACCGTTCTCTTGAAAGTGATAAGTGCTGCATGTTTGCCGTTAGTCATGGGCAGTGCTTTTTTAGCTTTCGTTGCCTCGATATCTTGTTATTGTTATGTAATCACGTTATTGATACTAATCGTGACTTGCCTACCATGCATCACGTGTTCTGATCTTTTAAATGGTAACTCGCTAGAAGAGTATTTCCAATTACTTCATACCAGGTAATGGCACAATATAGTACTCGCGCAATTCGGCTTATCAACCTTTTCTTACCTCAACTATCGGTTTACAGTAGTTATAAAAATTGTGTCATTGGGATTCAACTGCCCTTTTCCGAATCCCTATTTTTTTTGGTCACTTTGATATTTTTCTGTCCCATTACATATGGATAGCGCCAGACAATCCAGG